TTGAGTTTGTGGGTTTGCTTTTGGACTTTTCAGTTTTAAATTTAGTTACCATAAAGCTTAAATAGTGCCTGTTTTGGCATAATAGTGTTGCTCCCTGTCAAGGTAAAGGCACTGTATGCATCTGAGCAGGTCTCAATCCTTCTGAATTGATTCCCATGCCTTGCTACTGCCAGAAAATAAGTGTTTTCATCAACAACAGTAACTGTGTTAATCCTGAATCTTCCATGTCTATAACCTACTTTATATTTAACTAACTCATGGAAATACCTGTTATTACTTCAGGAAGCACAGCTATCACAGATTAAATTTCTGCTCCACCTATTTTATTTTTTTCATCACAAAAGCTCACCTGTTCCTACTTTGGGTTCTGTTGAACAGGAAACCTCTGATAAAAGTGTGATAGAGCTTCAGCAGTATGCCAAAAAGAACAAGCCAAATCTGCACATCCTGAACAAGTTGCAGGAAGAAATGAAAAAACTGGCCCAAGAAAGAGTGAGTATTTGCTTTTCTGTGTGCTCTTGAAGAACTACTTACATTTAATTTTGTATTTATTGAAGAAGGCAACGGGTCAGACTTGCCGATGACCAGAATTTGTGCTTGGTTTAGCCTGTATGTACATAGAGCTGTTCAGAACTTCGGGGGGAGGGCAGGAGGGCTACTTTTAGAGAGATTTTCGTCCTGTCTTTTAAACTGTCTTATAACTTCATTTTACCTACTTCATTGTATTTATGTTTAACATTAGAACAAGTTAACCTTTCGCAACCACTGGGACAAGTTTGGCTAAAATTACTCACACTTTTAGAACAGTTTATGATTGTATTCTCTTTATGACTATGGTGGGGTTTGTTTCACCTTCTTTTAGGAGGAAACCCGAAAGAAACCCAAGATGACAATAGTGGAGTCTGCTCAGCCTGCTAGCGAACCTCTCTGTACTGTTGATGTCTAATGAGAAAACTTACAAGTGGGGAGCAATAACAAATGGAGGAACTAGATTTTCAACAATTATTTAAAAATTGTTTGCTGCAGAATGCAAGATAACTTTTAAAATCCAAGCTGCTTCAGTTATGCATTGTTCTTTTTGCATCATCAGGGCAATATTACTTCTTCCTGTTTTATTTTCTTTTTTTTTTCCTTGTTTTAATACCTCTGATACACGTACGTTTAAAGGATTGATCATAAAGATCTCTACTTGGGCAAATGCACAGAGGACAGGCATGTTCACACAGGATGAAATCAATCAAGCACTTTTTCCTGCAAAGCCATCCATGCTGTTTGAAGTGGATGTGTTTTTTAAGGATGAAATTCAGAATATCTATGTACAGGTTGAAGCTGATATTATATATATATACACACATTCATATATATGTATATATAAAAGAAATATATGTACACCTTCTTGTATGAACATGCCTAAAAGTATTTTTGTGAAAAGTTTTGTTGCATTTCAGCACATAATAATATGCACTGATAAGACACTTTGGTGACAAATACATGACAGTGATGAGCAATGTTCCTAATGCCATAGGATTAGGCCAGTAACGCTGTTTCTTTCTGGTTTGTTTTTTGTCTCCTGCCAGGCTTAGTTATCTGAGATCACAGTATGCAGACTTTTTATTACTTGAACAGAACAAGTATACCTGGTAGTGTTAAAAGCAACAGGCTGGATATCCAAAATTACTGGGGTTTAGCTGTGTTAGTTTACAGATCAGTTGAAAGGGGGGAAAATATGGCCCTATTTATTTGATGAAGATAAGAACTGTAATTTAGAAGGCTGTTTTCAAAGCTTGGAGCCAAAACGCAGCTGATGGTGGTTGACAGTCTGAAAACATTTTGCCAATGATGTGTTTAAAGACCTTCCGCTTCCTTCTCCCAGCAATAAAAAAACTTCTCAATTGTTTGGTGTCAGAATCCATCAGACTTGATCAACTGAGTCTTAATTAGCACCATGAAAGCAAAGCATTAAAAAAACCACAACCCTAAGAAACCTGAAGTAACTGCAGCAAGTTAGCGGGTTTTAAGAATGTTTGGTTTTACTTTTTTAATTACATTTTTAGTTATTAAAGAAGAAGTGTAACTTCAGCAATGAAAATTAGAATGTAGATTTGGCTTATGATATAGAGTAATGAGTAGAATGAGACCATGACAGGTTATACTGATAAGTAAAAAAATCACAAATATGCAACTACTATTACATACAGTCTTGGAAACCAGGCAGTACTCACGATGTCATCTGAGGCTTTCAGTGAAGCACAGAAGGAACTGTTGAGGCTGTAGTGAAAGCACTGGGCTGTGGGTTTCGTTCTTCCTACGAGGATCTTCACGGAATGGTTGCAGTAAGTCTTCTCTTGGAACCATTTCTGTGGGTTCTTTGCTTTGTTCCTAAGGAAGAGAGTGAAAACCAAGGTGGTTGTAGGGCTTCGGGGGTGGCCAAGGGTTGTACTGCTGCATTTCATCCTCCTCTTAGGAGAGGGATTGCTCAGTTAGTTACAATTGCTGTAGCTCCTGGTGTACATACCTGGACAGTGATCTGGGGGCTGAAGGGAAAGGGGTTGTTTGGGGTTTTGATTGGTTTTGTTTTTACCGTGTTACATAGAGTGCTGCAGTATGAACTTAGTGCCTACTGGATTTTAACAATATTGGCATCAGTATTGTAAGACCTCCTTTTATAGTCACCTGTTGTTTTGGAAATACATAGATTTTAATTTATAGCTGTAGTATTAGATAATGCCGCATAGAATGTTTGAAGCTAAACAGGAGGAATCTTGGAGTCTTACCCATTTCTGTGTTTGAGTGATGTGCTTGGAGGTCTCTGCAAATAGGAATTCACCCATTTTATATTATTATATTTAGCTTTTCAGTTTCACAAGTTGTAATCCTGCTGTGACAGGATACGGGTAGTTGGAAGACTATACATAAACTATTATTTAAAGAAGTGGCCTATCTAAAAAGACAAAAGCAAAAAAACACTGCCTCTGCTTTTTTTTGTATAGCTTTAATATATCTCCATCTTCTGAAGGGTATATAATATTGGTGCAGTAGTGACAAGCAGTGATTACTGTTTGTCTGGTTTTGTTTTCTTTTAATAAAGACAGGGCTTCTATCTCCTATGCCTAACCATACTACTCTTTTAGGTAGGTTTTACTTCAGCTTATGTGTTTTCAGCAGAAAAATCTGTACTTGGATGGCACTGTAAAAGACAAATCACCCTTGTAGATCTCCTTATTTTTCTGGTACCAGAATGTCAATACATATGCAGGTCACCTGCAGAATATACATAGATGCCTCGCTTACAAATTTGTTTTCATTATTTTTAAGAGGATTGCTGTATTACCTCAGTCTGCCACTATCAGAATCACAAGGTGACCATTGCCCTTAATGAAAACATCCAGAGATTTCATTGTGAACCAAAGCCTAGAACGTATATTATGCATTCTAAACAAAAACAAACAAAAAAAGATGGTATTAGACCTTGCTGCAGCCTTTAACTGGAGAGATGTCCAGAAAATCGCGCAATAACTGCTGGAACAAACAACTTAACTGCTGTTTATGTCATTGTGAAGTATTCTTGTGTTTTAATGTTTACTATTGTTTGGAGTGTAACAGTCTTGCATTTGCACATAAGCACGAGCTGCTGTGATAGAGGATAGATCATTGCATTAACTTCAGCTTCTGCATGAACACTTACAGTGTGATTCAAGATGTATCCTGAACTTGTCGTGTAACTTGTGTGTTTTCTAGGTAATCGGCTGTAAAGGTTTAGATCTTGACTGTACGAATGCATAAAACAACTGCTGCTTTTGTCACTGATCTTTGTTATTTATCCCTTCTATAGCCAGAGGAGGATGGGTATTTTTATAGGGATGGAGTGTATTTTTAAGAACTGTTCCATCTCTTTGGGACTTGGACAGTTTGTGCTTTGCATATTATGTGCTTCTTGACAAAAGTGTGGTATATTGACTTTAAGGATTAGTGTGCATTCAAATCTTTATGGTACTGATGGAAAACTTACTGTGACTTCCAGTTAATAGTCAGATGCTACCTATTTAAACATCAGGCATCCAGCTCTTTCTTCCATATTTATTAAACAAAACTGATGAAGTAGTTGGGTACTCAGAAGTTTGGAAAGACTATTATGCATAATCTTAACTGTTGTATGTAACCTTCCACTTTCCTGTGATGCTGTTAGGCTTTATAAAAAACTTACATGTAATATCCAAGTATTTAAAAAGCATCATGAAGATCTTACTAACTCTCTAGACTGTACTTTGGTTGGGGAGTAAAATTCAGGGAGCGATAACCTCCTCGCTCTGCTTGGAAAGAAATGTGAAGTGCAAAAAGCCATTCTGTTGTTAACCAAATAAAATCATCAGTTACAGTGTTCTGATGCGTATCTGAGAAAATGAAACAACCACCAACCCGGAATTCATTCTTATTGCCCAAGTAGGTGATGATGGTTGCGGTCTGAGTCGTGCTGGGTGCAGCTGCTTGATGCCCGTGCTGAATTGGTACAACTATAAAGCCTCATTGTCACTGAGCCTCTGCTTGCTTTTTTTTCTGCACAATCATATAATCCTCTGTGTTTGGTCTTTGAGTACTACATGTGTATTTTTCAGACAATTAGTTTTGAGCAATAAAGTTTGATATTATAAAATGCTCCAGTGTGATCAGTATTGTGATAGATTAAGCATATTTAGAAAAAGGAACTTTTATTCCTTGATCCCTGTACATATTTTTTAATGGAAATTAAATCCATTACAGGCTCACTGATTCTGGAAGTACTGATTTGCTCATTTTTTTGGTAAGGAATTTAACGTTTACATAGTCAGACAGCACCTGAAATGAAAGCTTAATTGGAAATTTGTATTTTTACTTAAATGATACCTGGCTGTAAGTTGTCACTGGTGAGGGCATGCTTGGAGTGAGGTCATCTCAGCTTCACTTGTATGTCTTAGGAAATGATCTAGGAAAGCCTTTATTGTAGTGTCAGTGACACTGATTTCAGCTGTGGACAGTGTAGCATTTTTACTACTATATGAGTTTGTTGCTTCCTCATGATGATTCAGCATGTGCAGGATTTATGGAAATTTAAGATTGCTCCATATTTACTGGCTTGCTCAACAGGCCTGGTGCTATTGTGACAGACTGAGGAATGAAAGGAGTTAGTACTGGCACTTAAAAGTTCCCTGTGACTACATCACTTGCTTTAGGAATTCAGTACTGTGTTCCCTTGGTTGGCAGCTCTTCCTTACTGCTCAGTCCTTTACTTGTTGATACACAGCTGCTATTCACTAACACAGTGTGGTATATTATACGTGCACTGGAAGGGGTGGTGCATTAAGAATCAGCCCAGGTTTCAAACAGTTGTATCTGAATGTAGTCATGGCATACTGGATTTGAAGCTGTTTCAAGTGGTTCAAGAGCAAGACCACCAGATGTTACTTCACTCACTTGATTTTCTTCCTGAGGGCAGAAAGAGAAAAGCAGGATTTGGCCTAGAAGGACATGATGAAACTTAACTGAGATCGATATGATAAAATAACTTGGAAGCCTTGCAATTACTCTGTTGTGCAGATTTATTGCCTGGATGTTACAGAAACAATGGTATTGAAGTTGTTAACAAGCAAAAGTAGTTTCTGTCAAGTCTCTCTCAGGAGTTAAGCGGATTCCTTCTCATCGAGAGCAGGATCTAAACATACACAAGTTGCTTGGCTTGAATCAGCGTTTGATGGGTTGGTGCCATGTCCTGACAATGTGGCTTGAGCAGCAGCAGGTGCTGCTTCAGCAGAGCTCCCATTTGCATAGTCAGCCCTTTCGAAGAGTATCAGTAGCTCACAGTGCTTGGTCTGAGGGAAGAGATCCACAGCCAGTGCTTTAATGGGGCGGAAGGAGGCTCCTCTGACCCTGTTGGAAGGGGCCCGGCAAAGGCTTGATGGGAACAAAGGGAATGAAGAACTGTATTAACATTTCTGTATACTGTTTGTAACTGCTACTCCTCCAAGAAAAGTTTTTCTTCCCCAAGCTGCAATGCCATGATGGGGTTATTCACCACTCCTAATATCTCCCTTATTACTTGCTGACTGGGCAGTACCGGTCCCGGCTTGCTGTGTGGCAGCTCTAACTGTTTCTGGTAAAAGGTGGTAAGCTTCAGTGAACGTGGCTTCAAACTAGAAGTCCAACACCGTCCCACTCCCCAGGAAGCATGTATTTTTCTTACCACATCTACTTACTCAATTTAACACAAGAAATACTCACTCCACAAAGTTATTCATTGCAGCTCTGGGATTGCAGGATACGTAGATAAGCTTTTTCAGGTGTTCAGCTCTTCTAATGGCAAGAATTACCTTGGAATCTACATGATCAAAACCAAGAGAGCCGTTTACCTACAAACAGTTCTGTGTGCACAAGACTCACAGAAAAATTCCAGGCGAGTCTCCAGCCTGAACAAAACCACTGCAATACCCAGATGCTTCAAGCTATCCCTGAAGCCTCCTGCTCAATTTATTCCACTGCTGTTTTCTGAAGTTCACCACCAATCACCATTGAGAACAGACTTAGAAATGTAAGAGAAGATAAACTTACGCAGGCCTGCTCGTGGCGGATCCACAATGGTAATGGGGTTCTGAGGAGCTAATATGTTAATCAGGGAAGGAACAATATCTTCAGCCTTCCCACAATGAAATTCAATATTAGTCAGTTCTATAAAAAGACAAAGAAAAGATGTTATCAGGGTACTTGTCAAAGCATCTTCAGTATCCTCAAAGTGGATATGAATTTGGGATGCTTTACAAAGTGTGTAGTCAACCCTCCCATCAGTGTAATTTAAACAAGTGCTGGTGCTTCAGATCACTTAAACAACAGTAACTTGAGTATACTCCATTATCTGGACTAAAGCAAAACCCCATGAAAAATAGCTACTGTTAATGTTTTCTTCATGAGGCTAACTGTGGCTTCAGCTCATTTCTGCACCAAAATCTTCGTTTTCTTTTTGCAGAAAAAGAAGAGCTGTTAGTCATCAGGAAAATTGATCTCACAGACTAACACAGTATTTGTTTTCAAGAGAGATAAATGTTTAAAATGGACAAGATTACTATCAACAACATGTAATTCCAAGCTGCTCAGATAAGGCAAAGAGAAGCTAGCAATACAACTACTATACTTCTTAACAAACAGAGATCTTAAGTGGTTTAGCTTAACTAACCATTGATCTGGGCGTTCACTTTGGCGTCCTGTACAGCTTCTTGGCAGAGCTCAATTCCAATCACTTTCTTTACTTGCTGTAGAATCAACGGAAAAAGATCTGTCTGTGGTATGTAAATTGAACCATTATTCAGAGCATCACCAGTTAATTAACTACTGTACATGAACAGTGACTAGTACCTGGCCAGAAAATTACTGCCTTGCAGCCAGAAAAAAGGTTATAATAAATGTGGACTTTTAAAACTGAAATTGTGTCATCCCAACCTGCAGGTAAGACTCCAGTTATGCTGGCCTTTTTGGGGAGCAGACTCCATTATATGGTCTAGCAAGCTCTACTCTAAAAATGAGGTAAGTAGACATTGGTTATTCATATCCAAAGTTTTCTGAGATAGTCCAAACCAGTTAAGAAGATAGATTCTAGTAAACTTTGGCTATCCTACAGACCTATTATTCTCTCTGAATCTATTGGTTTCAAAATCATTTAGGCAGCTGAACACAAGGCTGAACATTACATCATGAATTGGTAAAACAGCTGCTGGCAGTTGAATTAGAAACTAGTTGCAGAAAATTAAGATATAATGTGTTGCATATCAAATGCATCAAGTTAAGCACGATTAACAGACGTAGATCTCTGAAGTAGCTTATAGCCAGGAAGAGAAATTACCCACCTTTGCCAAAGAAATCCCAATGGTTCCTGTACCGCAGCAAATGTCAAGCACCGTGCTCTCTTGGCTCAGTTGTGCCCATTCTCTAATGGCAGTGTACAACACTTCTGCAGCTTGCGTGTTTACCTGTGAAATTATGCTTCAATAGATCTACTTCTTCATATAGAGTAAATGTGCACATGTATTTCTCTTGTTCCTAAGAAACAAGTCAACTTGACACGTAAATTGCAATCCCATGTAACTGATCTAGACTGGCAAATGCTAAGACATCACCATTCCATTGTTACAGTCTCGTTCAATTCTGAGAAGTAATGTTTTGTTATCTCTGTTCTAGTAAAAACATGACTTGTCCTGTAGTACCTAAAAAGCAGGTTTGGAAACTAGAGGAGGCTGCAAGCAAATTAATTAAGCAAAATAGTAAGCAATAACGTGAGGTCTTGAATTTAAAAATTCTTCCTCTCCTTGAACAGGAAGTAGGAAAGATTCAAAACCATCAGAATCTAACTAAGACAATTTTAATCTTGTTGTAATATTGCTTTGAAGTAAATTCTATAGTTACACATCACGGTTAAGGAAGTAGTATATAGTAAGCTTTCTAAACCAGTGCCTCTAGAGCAAGTGTCTTTGTGCTGAAGAGCAAGCAAAGCACACTATGTGTGTGCGGGAAATAATCTGTAATCTGTGGCAGATAATAGAAAGTAGTTTAGCTTCAAAGCATTTACATGCTTCCTTCCTGTTTCAGTACTTTGCATTTCAATGATACAGGTCACCTGCTGAGGCTTTGAAGTGTTAGAAGGGTAGAAATAAGTTTTGGAACACCAATCAAAAATTAGTACTACAAAGACTCCTGAACTCCCTACTGTATGTCCTGTGTACATACAGGCTGCCATTCAACAGGAGGCAAATGGTACTAAACTACTAAAAAGCAACAAAAAGTTGTCTTCAACATGCTCTCATCATGTTTACACTCATTCACTGTTTTTACAGCCAAACACAATACTCAAAGGTATTTAATCATACCAAATATCTAAAAGATTAGATCTCTAGCTATATAACATCCTGTTACCCAGCATTAAACAAGCTTAAGGGCATTAATGCAAACCCAGTCAAATCAGCAAGTTGTATCATCCTTACCTGAAAAAATGCATGAGGAGAAATTCTAAATTTTAGGCCAAGAAGTTCTTCATATATGTACTTGTCACCAGCCACATGCTCCAAAGGCAAGTCTTCGAGACTGGGAGACTTCCTGGTGGGAGGAAGGCCCGGTGAGGTGAAAAAGAAAGAAAGAGAAAAAAAGAGAAGACAAACACATTTGTCAGAATTTTTACCAAAGCTCTATTCATCTTTAAAACTGCAGTACTACATGCTAAGCAGTAATTTATAGTAGGCCAACATTTATCATATCCTTTTAGAGATGATCTTTTTGGCCACTTTTTTTTCTGACAGTGTACAGTTGTTCCACTGATGTCAACAGCAGGACCTACACTGTCTCTAGATGAAGTGTGAGTCTTATGCTCTGTGGAAGAGGATGGTGCAATCAAACAATCACATGAAATAAGGACGAAAGGGAGCAGAAGTTACTTGCTGATAATAATAAATATCCATCTACTGCAGTAAATACTTCTACAGCTTGGCAGCCAGCAACTAGTGGGTTTACCCACTGAAACTTTTGCCTGCCTTTGTCCACCTGAGCACTACAGGAGAATGGGAAATTTCAGGGGTCTCTTGTGGAAAAGATAAACAACTGTTCACCAAATAAGTAACACTGCTGCTACCTGAAATAGACAAAACAGTGGTGTGGAAGTACCACCTATTTTTCTGTTGCAAACAACAACCCCCCTGCCCCAAAGCAAAGTCAACTCTCTCACCTTTGTCCTTCTTCCACAAAGTAGAGAGAAGTAACACCACTGGTCTTTCCCATCCCTTCCGTGAAGTACTTTGCCAGAGAGTTTTTCAGGTCAGCCAGCTCTTCCTTACTTAATTTCTAAAGGTTTCATTTGAAAGAACAAAGAATAGTTACCTTAGTGACTTAAAGATCTGATTTAGTGTACACATTCTATATTAATTACTTGTTCATTTCCATGTATCAGATTCATCTAAACAGAAGAGTAGTAATAGAAGGTAAACTCACCAAGTAATATTTCTCTTTCACATGCACTATTCATAAAATCAAATTTATGTTATTTTAAAGCTATTTGTCTGGCTGCACATTATATATCAAGTTAAATACCTGAGGATTAAAATAAACAATTGCCATGATGTGGCCATTCCTGCTGGTACGGACAGTCAGCTGTTTCCAGTGACCTTCATAGGTTTCCGGGCTGTAAACTGAGTAAGGAGTTGACCTGCAATTTTCAGAAGCTCAGTTACTTAACAGAGAACTATTTTTTTTGCATAACATTCAATAGCTGATTGAAACAAAAGCCAGCTCACTATGCAAAGTGATGAAAAACGTTAAGTACAAACAGAGGCTACATTGATTTGTCAAGAAAAGAATGACTTCCACATCTTAATGAAGAAGAAAAGAGACTGATAAATAGATAGTATCTCCTAATGCAAAATAATCTATCCCTGCTTCTCACTACTCTCTTGCCCATTTTAACCTATCCAAAATTACGAATAGGATACAGGCAGCTTCTTACCGCACTCAGAGGATGACCCAATTTTTTATAATGCCTTCATTGGCTTATGTGATTCATACCAAGTTCAGACTTTCCATCTTCATAGTTTTCTGAGCTTTCCATTTTTGAGGATTTAGTTGCTTTTTAAAGAAACCACTCCTTCTCCCCAAAAATATTGTTGCTTAAATTTACATCTTCCATTTTATTCCTTGTTGATTCTTCTCTTCATCCAAGGAAGCAACTGACGTTTGCTATCCAAATTACTCTTTTAAAAAGCCTTTTTCTGAGTATTTCTTTACAATTAGTGGAAGAAGCTCTCAAATAACAGACACATTTTATTGTGGACTTACACATCTTATTACGTGAGATAAAGCTGTGTTTGGCTGGTACCTGTACCTCCATCTCTGAAGAGCTGAGCAAGAGCAAGGGAAAACCGCCCAGTGATGTAAGTACAAGATGTAAGCATCAAAGATCTGCTGAACATTGAGACTGGTATATCTTAGGTCATAAAGCTCAGAGCAAACACTAAGCTTGTCATAATATTTAGTTTTAAAGATATTTTTGAGTAAGATATCAAAACCTTTACAGAGAAATCATTGTACTTGTGCTCACCTTATGTAGTCTTGGAAAACTTTTACTACTTTTTTGGCAATAGCAGGAATGTGAATAGTATCAAATGGCTCCACTACAGCACATGTACCACCCTTATATTTGCCAAGACGACAACCCACAGTTTTGTCTTCTTGATTTACACCAATCCCAATCAAGAACTCACATTTGTTGCGATACTCAGTCTAGATTTAAAATAAAGTTATGTAAGATATTTACATAGCACTTAACTGTACATGCCAAGTTTTTCCTGAAGCAACCCTCATATGATTAAATGTATCTGCACGTGAACATAGGACATTCGGTTCATATGGAAGCTATTAATGGATTTTAATATATGAGAACAGCAATGATGAAAACTTATTAGTAAATCTTGCCATTTAAACAGAAAAATATTGCCTCTGTTGAAGAATGTATCAGCCCAGAATGCAAGCTTCTAGGGACAGCATATTAGTTTTAAAGTTAGAATATCCAGTTAATTTTAACTATTCTGCTTCCTCTAAATATTTCCATAGTATTTATCTGAAAGGCAATGTCTGAAATTCACCAATCATTACAAGATAAAGTCAAATATTCAGTTTGCTCACTCTATTTTAAGGCTAAATAGATTTACATTTTAAATTTTAATTTTACCCTAAACTCATTAATCCCATTTCATACTTTACCGAGGACCACATTACCTGTAATGGTGATGCTTTCACTCCCTCTACTGGACAACACAGTTTATTATACTTCTGCTTCTGGAGGAACAACCAAGGTAATAAAGCTCTGTTGTTATTTCCTATTTCCCTGCCCAAAACATAAACAAAATTTTAAAGTACACATTTAGAAAAACTGAGGTTAACAGTTGCACAAGACTTTTTTTTCTTCTTTTTTTTTTGTACAGGTCATAAAAAGTATCACATTATCAGATGAAAATGATTTTAACATGCAAACCCCACCAACTTTACAAGATCTGTATCTGAAAAAAAAGAGTTAAATGTAGTTGTAAAAGTATGTACTAGAATTATTACTGTACCCATGCATGAAAAAATGCCAGCTTTATCTATGTGAGGCAAAGGATAGAAGGGATATTTTGATCTACAAAGATCAGGCATAAATATTTGAGGGGATTTTTAAAGAGAAAATGCTCACAGTGATTTACCATCTCTACTGACTGATCCCCTCTCACACCACTTGACAGTACCAAATTTTTTCAAGGGCACAAAAATCCATCCTTCTGCTTAGGCCTATTAAGATTTTTTAACAGGTCTTAAAAGAATGCCCTTTCATTTAGCAATGTTCTGAGGCTGAGCAAGAACAACAAACTTTGTCAGCTGGAACAGTTTTTAGGTCTGAGCATTGCAGATTAATTTACTTTGTATGGGAATTTGGTTTTTGACCTACCTCTAACTTACTTTAGAGATAGCAATTTGTGCAAATTTAGCTATATCCCATCATAACGTCACGTCTTGTAAACATGACAGTAGCTTTACAAAGAGGAATTACTTTGTCAGCTTCTGCAGCACTTGTTCGCATTCCTGCTTCTTTCTGGCCAGCTGCTCTTCGTAGGGCACGTTCCACAACGGGGTCACAACATCTGCTATTTGCTTGCTCAGGGGCTCCTCTGCACTGGCTTTGGAGGCAGCCAGACGCTTCACCTCTCCCTGCTCCATCTCCTCTTCCTTTTTCCTTTTCTTGGCGATCGGGTCAGCTTTGGGCTTGGCAAGTCTGACGCTGAGGTGCCGGCTCTTCCACAACACCCCATGCAGGACCTTCATTGCCTGGTCCCTCTCCTCCTCACTCTTGAACGTTACGAATGCAAATGTCTGTTTCCCGAAAAGTTTTATCTTGTGAGGATTGAGCCCGTATTTGGCAAGGAACTTTTTCACGTCGTTAAACCCGATGTATTTGGGAAGGTTCTGTATTTCTAATTTATAGATCTCGGACGTGAACAAGTCTCCCTTAATGTATCTGTACATGTCGTGGCAGGCCGCGGGGCTACCCCCTCCTCCATCTTCCTGGCCCTCCACTTCAGCCCCATCTGTAGCCTCCAGCACAGGAGCCGCGACGCTGTCGGGGTCGCACCGATCGCTGTCCTCCGACATGCTCCCGCCAGCCCCTCGGTGCGGCCGCACAGTACCCACGCCGGCCTCCCCTCAACGCGGGCCACCAGGACTACCTCGGCCCCACGGTGCGCCCACAGCACCCGCGCCGCCTCTCCTCAGCGCCAACACCAGGGCAACCGCGGCCCGCGCAGTCCTCACGCTTCCTCGTGCCGGACTCCTGCGGGCGTGGCTGTGGCGTCACCCAGAGACCGTAGCAAACGGAACGGGAGAGAAGCGGGTTTATTCCCGTTGCTGCCGCCGCTCGCGCGCGGATCAGCCGCGCCGCTTGAAAACCAAACACCGGTGTTCAAGAAGCGACTACAGTACTGACCCGTCCGTCACGCACGCGGGCGCCATCTTGGGTCGGTCGCCGCCATGCCGCGAGGGCTGATGGGAAGCGCCTCAGGAGCGGGACAACAAAAAAAACCCTTTGCCGGGAGCAGGGGGGGTCCGGGCCGGGAATCGGTGTCCCCGAACGGGGCTGAGGGCAAGGCCGGGGCAGGCGCGACCGGTGCTTTCCCCGCTCCTAGGTCCTCGCCAGCCGCGGCGCGCCGGGGGCGGGCCAGGAGCGCGGCGCTGAGGGAAAGTGGGTGTTTCCCATCGGGCCTTGCGGCGGCGGCGGCGCGGGCTGCGGGAATGAGGTAAAGGCGGGAGGGGCGGGGGCGCGCGGCAGGAAGCTCGGCGGCCAGGCGGTAACGGCGAGCGGCGCGCAGTGAGCCCGGCCCCATGGCGGACACCAAGGTGAGGGCGGCGGGCGCGCTCCGGTGGGCAGGGGAGCCGGGTGCCTTAGTGGGAAGGCCTGGAGTTGAGGGGGGATGCGGGCGGGGGAAAAGGGGAGGTAGCGCGGGCCACGGTGGTGAGGGAGAGTAACGGAAACAGGTGGGGCCCGGCTGGAGGCTCAGGGCCGGGGACAGGGCCCAAGGGCCGGCCGGGCGTGGGGCGACGCACAGGAACCGAAAGATTTAGGCGGGCGGGGGACCGGAGGTCAAGCGAAGCCCGGGGCCGGGAAGGACGGGTTCTGGGCCTTGCCGGAAGGAGGTAGCGGCAGCGCCGCCGAGTCCCGCAAGGCTGGGCTCGGTGCGGCCGCCCCGCCGTTTCAGGCGGCTCGGGCACGTGCGTCTCCTGAGGCCTGGCCCCCCCCTTGGAAGGGGAGGGTGCGCTCCTGGCTCGCCCAGTGGGCGCCCTGCAACGGCCGCGTCTCCTCCCGACCGTGAGAGAGCTGGAGCCGGTTTCGTCCGCGACCTGGCCGCTTCTTAGAGAACCATCTCCTCTTTCTCTCCTTTTTTCTTCTCCTCCTCTTTTCCAGCCCCTCCCCCTCGCCTCTGGACTGAACCCGTCGTGCCGCGGCCCGGCGAGGGGAGCAGCCCCACGTGCTTGCATAGCGGCAGGACGGGATCTTATTGTGATAACGGGATCTGCTTTCTCTTACATGTGGCTGTTCTGAATTACGGGTTTCTCACTACTTCTGTAGTTAATTGGTCAGGCACGGAACAGGTGATGGATTACGATACGGGATGTGCTGCTTGCTGCTGGAGGAGACTATCTAAAAGTTTGGCCAACGTTTCTTTTTTTCTTAAAACCTGATGTGACTTAATGCCTTTTTGGCTTTTTTCTTACGTGCTGGAGCACTGGGGACGGAAAACTAATGGTAGCTGCTGTGATGCTGACATAGCCAAAACTTATTTTGCAGCATTCTCACCTAATTCTCCCTTCACCCTTCTTTATTTTTTTCCTATTTAGTGAAAATAGGGTGCTTCATGCCAGTCGCTTTATTCATGCGTGATGCGTACCTGCTCTATAAAAGATACCCTTAAGCAGAATATGTAAAAGTGGACTCTTTCATCTGGAAAGCGAAAATAAGATTTAAGTGTCTTTGATGTGTACATTGTTTTTTGCTTTTTCTGTTATTCAGACAACAGCAAAAAGCCCCAAATCAGTTCCCTTGACCTGAGATAGCTGTTTGTGGCCTCATTAAACTTGCAGATGAATTTCCCTCCTAGGCTTCTGTACTGAATCCTTAGCAGTGCATATGTATGAACTAGTGGAGATGTTTATCCTTTAGTCACTAGTCACATACTAAAGACAATTCTTAAGCTTAATGAATGCTATTGCATATTCTTAAATAACTAAATAGGAGGTCATATTTTGGCCATTTGCCCATAACGTAAAGAATCTTAAAGCAAAAAAACTTTAATTCTTAAAGCAAAAAGAAAAAGTCATGTGTGTTGCAACCGTGCTTCAAAAATACCTTTGATTATGGATGATTCCAATATGTAAGATTGGAATAATGAACTTCTGGAAGTAATGTGTCGCTTAAGCTGGGTTAGGTGGTTGTATTGGTGGTATGTTTGTGGGGTTTGGTTTTGTTTTCCATTAATGGTAGGCCATTAGCCACTAAGAAATAGTTGTGCTTTAGTAAAACACATTATAGAGGAGAAATAGGAGAAGGCATTACTTTTACATAATGAAGAGCTTCAAAGCTGAGCCTCTGCACAGTTCGTGAGTGGTAGGACTAAAATACCTGGCACTGCAAGAGCAGCTTTTTACTTTTCTTTGGTGTATGTTGACTTTAAACCTTTGTTTTCCACTATAATAATTTTTCTTTATTATTACAGGGTATTTCAGTTACTAAAATCCAATTGCTGAATAGTCACAAACATTTTAATTTTAAACACAGATATGAGTACTTCAGATTTTAAGTACATAGCAAGTTTTTGGCTTTTACCTCTCTTTCCAGGAAACGCATGATGAGCATGATACTTCAACTGAAAATGCAGATGATTCTAACCATGATCCTCAGTTTGAGCCCATAGTTTCCCTTCCTGAGCAAGAAATAAAAACTCTGGAAGAAGATGAGGAAGAACTCTTTAAGATGCAAGTAGAATATTTCTAAATTAATATATGTAAATGTTTATTAGGCTTAAATTTGGATGTGTTTATAAAAAGATGGGTAACTTGTTAAGATTCTCTGTGTATGAAGTGGTAACCTAAGTTGGTAGCTATTTACTGTGATAGCAGAGGTTGAGTGGTGAAATTATTGATAATAATGCCCCAAGAGACTCTGAAGTCTGGAAAAATAGAAGGGAGCTGATACCAGAAATCTGCTTTTAATATTGTTTAGCCTGTAGGAAGACATTGACTTGGATAATAATCAGAGGGTTGAAGCTGTGTGATCACAGTATAAAACAAGTATCGGGGGGGGGGGGGGGGGGGGGTGAGATGCATGTAGTGTAGCTGCCGTGCATCCCCAGTTGTAAAGGATGATGTATGTATGATGTGCTGAAACAATAAAGGCAGTAGATGCAGTACAGTATGGGGACATTTGTGCTAGTACTTTTCTATTGTGTTAAACGTAGTTTTATCCTTAGATTAGGCTTGTTCTCAAATCATGGTAGCTTGCTTAAGATGTATGATCTGTCTGAAGAAATATGGAGGCTAAAGGCTTAAGCAGTGTTTTGAATGTGATCCCTGATGTGTTTGCTTTAAATAGGTTTAAGAAAATACTGCTTTTACTTAATCACAGCAGGGTGTTATTCATCAGGAAGAGAGATTTGAGTTCTCTTTATACAAATTCTGGTAAAAACTAAAGCAGTGGTCAATTTTTGACAAGCATGATGAGGTCTCTGACCCTTAGGCCTCTCTGTGCATGTGACATGCAATATCAGATGGAAAGAAGAAATTTTCTTAATTAAGAAGGAAGTGGGGGAAATAACAGTGTATGTTCCAGTGCTCTGTAGGTTTATTATGTCTACAAAGGGGCGAAGGAGGAAAGGAATCCTTTTTATTCCCTACTGAGTCCCCAGCTGGACTTTAAAGGCAGGACTTGCTTTGGAACCAAGTAGTTCTACATCAGAGCATCTGTTAAGAGTTGCATGTCCCATCTTTTTCATGAAGGACCTGCCTTATTACAATTCCCTATGCCTTGCTCTTTTACATTTTCATATATATCCTGTTGTGTGAATAGGTGCTTCCTTTTCTATAGCAGAATCTTAAATTCCTCACTAGCAGAGCTCGGACAGCCTCTTGGGTCAGTTTTGGCTAATGTACCAGACTGCTGTTTCTCTTTTGGCATACTACCATCTTGGGAAATTAAACAGGGATGTTCTGAAGCAGGTATGTTGCACTGCAGTGCAGCACTTCCTTTATTCTTCAGTTAAGAAAAGCAACAGCTAAGTTTTAGGAGTTAAAAGGAAATGAGTGACTCTAGAGGGTGAGGCACTTTGTTAACAGTTGATCAAATATTGAGCTTGGAATTATGCAAGAGTCTTTTCTTAGCCTCAAGGTGCTCAGTTTCTTGAATTAATAAATATTGCTGGTTGGATGGAGCAGTTGTATTCATAATAGATAGAAAAACTCTAGCTATAGCAAAATGTGTTAATTAGCTACCTTAATTTAAAAGGTAGCCTACACCAAATACATTTATCATCCCCCCAAAGTGTGTCCAGAACCTGTTGAATATTAGAATATTGCATATTTCCTAATAGTTTATTACTAAATGTGGGTTTCTTTTATCAGTTTCTCAGTTTGAATGCTGAAGCAGAACAGGGAACCTTACTAAAGTAATAATTTTTTTTGTTGTGTGTGGCTTTTAAAACAACAACTGTACTGATTATGTCAAGTCTGCTTTTTGATAAATGTTTCTACATGCAGGCTAACTTCTTGAATTCTCTCTTCTTCAAGGCGAGCAAAGCTATTTCGATTTGCATCCGAGAATGACCTTCCAGAATGGAAAGAACGAGGAACCGGTGACGTAAAACTCCTAAAACACAAGGAGAAGGGAACAATTCGCCTTCTCATGAGGAGGGATAAAACCCTAAAAATCTGTGCAAACCATTATAGTATGTTCAACTTTACTACTTGTTTTTAAAAATAAGCTTGTCAAAGTGTACACTGTAGATTAAGAACACAGTGCCTTTTTAATAGTAGGCAGAGAACTGTTGTGTGTCTTTAAAGAGGTGCTAAATTCGTATTGTACTGTAGATACAGTTGTCTCTTGCTATGCACACAAGGCTACAAGCATCAGAAACAATGAATGCTTATTTTTGTTAATGGAAAGAACCTTTAATTTGTTTTGGTGATTGTCTGCAAGGATGGGACTAGAAGTTTTTTGGGTTTTGTTGTTTGGGGTTTGGTGTTTTTTTTGTTTGGATTTTTTTTTTGTTCCCCTGCAGACTCTGATAGTGTTCTAAAGACACTTTAAAATTTAGCTGGGATAGGCAGATGTGGTTGATCCCAGTCAGTGTGTGCATGTTCTTTTTAATAGTTAATAGAGTGTGGAAAATAATAAATAAATGTATGCTGGCTGTTTTAATAAAATAATGGAAAATAAGTAATCATGTAACAATTTACTACTTTGATTAGATAGAAGCAATTGCTTATCAATCAGAAAACATACTGAGACGCTAGACTAATCTATGGCTGCCTTTCTCTGCTTGTGAAGTAAACTGAAATGAACATGGTATATTCAGCTAATCCTTCAAAAAGAAAGTGTAGTGAGAGCTGATGGAGCTGAGAGGAGGGGTTTGTTCCTTTGATCCTCTGAATAAAAATGAACATGAAAGGGAAAGACAGACTTGAAAGTCAATAGAACTAGCAACAAGTAGACTAATTTGATAATACTTTGTTGCTTGCTTTTTTTGGTAATACTCAGGTTTTTACATGAAGAGTACAATAGTATTCTCTGGAGTTAAATCACATTTAGATAACTTGATTTGACTTGTTTTGAGTAGCTTAATACAAATCCGAAGTCAGAAGCAATAATGCTTGTTTTCTGTGGGCAGTTCTTTTCAGAGAATCAGACTATACAGGGGACACAGGTGTTCCTGTTTAGTAATTGAAATGGCAAATATGAAAGAGTTATAGTCACCAACCAACAAGAATAAACCTTTTGTTTAGAAAAATAAATATTGCACATATGCAAAGCAGAATTGATGAATTTATAGTGTTAGTCTCAAAAGGGTTTTTTGTGTTTTCCAAAACATTAAACGAAATGTAATTTGATCTCTAAATTTAAAACATGCAAGAAAGTGAGTAAGCTTCAGATTTCTCCCAGACTAAAGAAAGGACCCGGTGAGGGGGAAGCCTTGTTTAAACTTTGCATGTGCATAGCGTAAAAAGTCTCAGAGCACTCTGTCAAAGTTCCAGCTTCCTCAGTCAAGTGAAGTAATTATAATGTCTTGGAGGAAAAGAGTTCCATTTACTGGGAAGGATCAAATGGGTTGAACATATGCTGTGCACATCTCGCAGCACTGCAGGATTGTGTGATATCTGTTTGTAGATGATGGGAGAGAAATGAACCTTGTTTGATGACTAATTGTGGGAATAAGGCTTTTCTTAAGTATTTTTCTGTAGTATGTAGTATTTTCAGTATGCAAAAGAATGAATATGGTTTTGTCTGTTTGGGTTCCCTTTCCTCCTAAACTGTGACTGTGCTTAGTGACTGCATTTCTCATAGCATCACAGTCATTTTTTTTTTTTTTTTAATACAACAATTGAATGAAACTCTTTCTTAAAACAGGGAATCTAGCATTCTTTTATGCAGTGATGGTCTTGCATCCTTTTATTTGACAATGTAAGGAAAAGATATATGTGGGCACCATTACCTTCTATTTACCCAAAGTATTTCTGCGTAAAGTATTTTACATAAGCATTGCAGCCATTTGTCAGTAAGACTTACTGAGGCTCGTGGAAAACATTTACTATTGTGCTTTGTACATCTTTCAATGTTTTCCTTTCAGTCACACCTTTAATGGAGCTGAGGCCTAATGCTGGGAGCGACAGGGCGTGGGTCTGGAACACACATGCTGACTTTGCAGATGAAAGCCCCAAGCCTGAGCTTCTGGCAATCCGGTTTTTAAATGCAGAGAGTGAGTAGACTGGCACTGAACTTAACATTGATTCTACACTGTTAAGTTACATTACATGTCTAAACACTACAGTAAACCACTGTTGCAGGTATGCTATATCTTACCACTGCATGGTAGTGTTAGCTAATTACTGCTTCAACTGAGAGAAGTTGGTTAATTGCTTAACCATATGTGTTGACAAACAGTGCAGTAATTAGAGCTTTCTGCCTTGGGCACTGTTTTTTTTTTTTTTACTTAAGCCATGTCATGCAAGTGTAATGCTAATTAGAATAAAACTAAAAGCAGTAATACTATGGGGTAGAGATTAATACATGCAGCTTGCTTTCATTTATCTCAGGTGCTCAGTTGTAGTTGATTACATGTTTGCATTAGAAGCAAAGAAGTGCTGACCTGAGATTTCTGATCTGTCTGCATTAGCAGAAGATGTGATATTTTCTTATAATTGTTTTGAGTATCTTCTTTATTTTGATTGAATTAAAATGTGCAGTGAAAAGCACTATCATAGTAGTTGATGCTCTTTTTCAGTACTACCAGAACAGAAAGTAGGTCTGTGATTACAGATGGATCAGTTAGCTAGGGCTGAATGCTAATATAGCTTTCCCAACTCCTTAAGATTGCATCAAAGAAGTGGTTTTTTTGTTTCTTAAAAAAGAAAAAAAGGCAAAATTAAAGAGGAAAAATGTTTGTGTTTCCTGCTTTGTCATTTGCCACACAAGTTTAGTGTATTAGCCACCTCTTCTCCCTACATGCTAGATGGCTAATAATGTTGTATATTTTTTAATTAGATGGATTTCCCTATATCTGGGAAGAACTTAGTATATCTTGTTTGCTTCCTTATCCTGAAGTCTCCAATATCATGTTATTTAACCAAATAAGTCTTCCTGGTCCTACTGCTTCGTCCTTAATCAGGAAATTAAAGGGATTTGGTAACTATTTGTTTATCTTTGAAAAGTCTCTTTCTGGTAGAAGTTGTTCAGCTCATTGAGTGTTTGTCTTGAGGGAGAAGTCTTCTTTGCCTGTTTATCCTTGCAGTACTGACTGAGCAGCTGACATGTGAATAGACATAAGCCTGCCCTTCAAGTATCCTTCCTTTTGGTGATGCTTGAAAAGGAATTGATACAAATGCTTCCTGAACTAGTTTCATAGTGGCTTCTGAATTCCTGTGGTGGAACAGTGACCTCATGTGGTCAGTCAGATAGAGTTGGCATATACAAAATTACCTTCTTACCTTTCTGATGTTAAAAACTGCCTTGCATGATCTGCTCTTGTGTCCTGTTGCTTATATTACTTGCATAGAAACATTATTGTAACTTGATCAACTGCTTGGAATGACTGTTAAATCAAGTGGAGGATTAAGCCAAAACATAACAAGGCTTATGCTTCCTTAGCTATTGTAGTCAGGAACAGTTTGAGTCTGGGCCTTGGGGAGTTGAATTTGAATGCTGTACTAGTGAAACAGGCTTTACCGTGCATTCTTGATGCTAAGAATTTTAAGTTATGGTAAGGAACTGGAGGTCTTCTAGGGTATAAGGTAGCTGGCAGAGAGTAGCTGATCTTCAGACTTTAGCACACAGTAATATTAGCAGTGCCTGACATTCTTATTCCTGTAGGCTAGGGACAGCTGGGAGTTGCAGTAACTACAGAACAGCTGGTTCTGGCATAGTTTTAAATACCTTGCAAAATCAGGTGCTTTAATAGACTTGCTAAAGAAAATAAACTGCTTCTGCACAAGATGTGATTTAAGAATTTCACATAGCGTCTTATATGATTTTAAACTAGACTACTTCATAAGTGCTTATGGGTTTTGTTTGCACAAAACTTTTCCCCAAGTATCTTTAGTCAAGATTGGAAATATTCAGTGTTGGAAGGAGGTAAAACTAATGAAAAATATATTTTGTCTGTACTAAAACAGATGCACAGAAATTCAAGGCAAAATTTGAAGAATGCAGGAATGAAGTAAACCAGAGAGCAAAGAAAGGTAAGGCTACAAGTCTAAGTGTAGTACGATGCTGCTTTTTCCAGGTGTTTGAGTGGTTACAGCGCCCTGGAGTGCTGTTTCAGCAGACTCACTCTGTACTGAACTGCGGTCTTCAGTTCAGGTGCTTTTTCTGTCTGCGAGAGCAATAGTTCACAGGAGTGACGATTGCCTTCTTTCTTATAGAAGGCTGTTACAGTTGCTGTTGGGACATTGCCCTTTTGGAAAGGCTACTAAGGAAGCATTTATGGTCTATATTACACAAGTGAACTGTGAACACTGCAACCACAGTGATATTTCCTTCTTCCAGTTCCCCTTCCCAAATTCCACAAATATATAATCATGCAAGTAGAATACTTAATTTTTATAGTTGTTAATGTATATGAAGTTTTAACATTTCTTCACAGGTCTCTATTGATTAACTCACTGCCTTGTAGAATTGCCTGTGTCAAGATAGCTCACCATGTAAAATAAACACCTCCGTCTTTCTAGAGTACTGATTATGGGTGGTGTGCAGTCAGCACTCATCAAGATATTTAGAGCATATTTTTGCAGTCTTAAGAACTTCCTCTTCCCCAGTTTCAAACTGGGGAACTTGACTTTTGATCGAGATGCATAAGAAGCCATGGGTTTGAGACATTGTCTTGACTGGACACTGCATGGAGCCTGTTACTGGTAGCAGCAAAGGTGACCAAATGTTCATGTTTCTCAGTCCCTAGGATTAGGCCCTCAAGTGGTATTTCTCAAACTGTGACATCTGAGGTGCTTACCAAAGGAAAAGAACTGGAATTAATCACTCCAGTGATCAGTGGAGAATTTCTTTCCTCTTGTTATCACTCCAAATACCAGTGGTGTCTCCCCACCTGTCTCACCCTCCACTTTCCCCTCTAACAGGAAAAATCCATTACTGCCAGTTTGTAACTTTCTTCCTAATGAATCTCTTAGCAGGCACAGACAAAAATGATAGCGCTGATAAAGTTGCTGAAAAACTAGAAGAGCTTTCTGTAAAGGAAGAGAGCAAAGAATCTGAGAAGAAAGAGACCAAGGAAAAAACTGAAGAAAAGCAATAAATCATTCTGGGCCTTGCAGTTTTTCCTTTCGTTGTTTTGTTGTTTTTTTTTTAATTTCCATTTTTTTTCCCTTTTTTCTTTCTTTTTTTTTTTATTTTTTTTTACAAGGGACTTTATAAGGAACTGAATTCAACGTTCAGGTTATTTTTTTCTAAGCTTTTGTCCTTTTGAAGATGTCTTCAGAAAAATCCATTCCCCAGTCATGAAAATGTACTGTGCTAACTTTCTTTTCCATAGTGGAAACACTTATTTATAGTCATCCAAAAGAGTGAATAAAACAAACTTGAAAATGGGATCAGAGGACAGAACTGAATTTTCTATGTACTTTAAGAGCTTATGAATACACTTGTTTCATTGGATGTTGAGATACATATCATCATACCTGTGGATTAACTAGGGTAACAGGGAAGATTAAGATTATATACATGTTTCTTATGTGGCTTCTAAAACTGTAATATAACAGAGCCTTCACAATTTCTGCTGTGTGTTCCTGAGCAGGGAATGTGCCTGATTTTTTGATGTGCAGCAGACTTCTGGAATCGGGCGATAGAGCATTCCTGCCATACTTTTAATGGTGTTCCATCAGACAGTGAAAATAAAGGTAGGGGGAAAATGTATTATGTAAGACTTGAAGTATTTTCCTCTTACAAGACAAAATCTCAGTTTACCTCATGCACCATAAATTTGTTAAATGCTTGACTCTAGCACAAAGTTGATGCTGTGGTCCAAGATCTTTCATGGTGTGCTGCTTGCTGTCTGAAGGCAGTGGCAGCCTCTTAACGTTAAGGTGTATACAAAGGAATCTTAATTGTTTGAGTACCTTACTATGGGATTCCTTGTGTCATCACATCATAAAAGTTGTACTTTATAGCTTTTTTTCAGTGCTTTGGACCTTGCATTGTTTTTACAAACCAGAGGGGTTCTGAACTTTTAAGATGAGTGTTGGAACAGTTATGCTGTACACACTTCAGGGGTGCTCTCCTTGCCAGAATAGGCAAATTGATCAAATCTTTTCTCTGCAAGTGTTTTCTGTTTATCCAGTTTTAAGTTAGTGCTAGAGAGCAGGAAAAAGCCCTATAGTGAGCAATAAAATTGACACGGTTTAAAGTCTGATGGTGGTTAACAGTGAAATTCAATTAATCTAATACAAGGATAGCATTAGGATAGGATGAAATTCTTTAATACTGTTTCCACAATAATTATGAGAACTTGACAAAGTATGCTGAACTAAGGCTGTATGATGTCAAGATTGGATAGGAAGACCCTTCTGTCTTCATAAAGAGGCTTTCCAAGTAAGTGAGGCTCTGCAGTCTACCTGAGGAAAATGTATTTCTTAAAATCTTGTCTTTCTACTTTAGCACTTCCTTTTGCTGCTACAATGAACTAGTCTGAAATTTGGAGCTGTAATTAAGGTACTCATTCATTCAAACGACATAATTCTTTTGGTGTTGTGCATGTTCCCCTTCAAGTACAGCAGATGTCAAAAGTCTGTTAATTAACAAAGATGGTTGAAAGGTAAAGTAAAATGCTCTTTAGTGTTTCTGGTTTGGAAATAACAAGACAAAGCTATTCTGAAGTACTTAGCATTTGAATGTAAAAGCCAAATCTTTATCTGTGAGTCACTGTAAATTCTCTGATCTGATAATGTCAAACAGTGTGTCTAAATTGATAAAATGCCGTTTAAAAATTTCAAAATAAATCTAAATTTTCATTTAAAGGATTTGCTTTTCATTTAAAGAACTCTTTCTGGGAGTGCATTTTTAGCCTGCAGGGGCAGCACAGTGATGAAGGCAGCAAAATGGGTGTTTAATTTTGTTGTCAAACATCATACAGAAAAGGGGAGGAACACTTGAATGACTTAATTTGTCTCAATCTTAGATATTGATGATGCCTACTTAATGTTATTTCCCTCTCTTCTGCCCCTCTTTATTTACTCATGGATGCTTAAATGATTTCAAGGCATTTCCATTCCTGTTTAGGTTAACTGATCCCTGTTTACAGTTCATGGATTACAACCATCCTTAATGCAAGTCTGCAGTCTCAGAGCCAAGAGATAAGGGACCACAAAGTAAAATAATTCTCTGAATAGCATTTGGCTGAAGAATGTCTTCTAAACTAAAGTCTTCTAAACTAAAGGATGGTTAGTCAGTGTTCTGGTCACGTTAGAAGGCATAGGTGTGCTCTTCTACAAGTTAAAAAGCAGTAAGTATTTTTAAAATTGATCTCGGTAAAATAAGGTTTTGTGGTTTTAAGTCATTCTAATGATAATTTTTCTTATATTTGACATAGAGATGTCCTTGAAATGTTTTTGTAGCTTTCTGTATGCTAAGTAAGAGTTCTAGCTGATGTAGTGTCATCTTGTCCTCCCTGCCTAGATCCGCGGGATCTTGCTTTCCCACCATCTTGACCATTAACAGGGTCATTGAGATGGCAGAACCTGACCTATCTTATTGGGCAGTAAAGAGTCTTAAAGTAATAACTTAGCCCAAAAATTGTAATAGCCCTTTGACCACAGATTTGGCTTGTCATGCAGAAGTTCCTGAATCTGTGGGTGACAAATTCGGATAATAACTGCAGTGTGATATCAATGTCTAAATTTAAGGTATTGTGCCATAGTAAAAATAGATCATGCAGAAACATATCAAATTCTTTCTTCAGACACAGTACAGAAATTAACTGAATCTTTAATTTCTTCACTTTATAGGAGTGTGTTGAGATTTGTCTCTAGAACCCTAGAGACAAATTGATTTCTAGGCTGTTTTATCACCTGCAGTTGAATAGTGGCTACTTTTCCTTTTACTTCCAGCAAGGCATGATAACTTCTGGCATGTTTAATTGCTGACTAAAATAATGGGGAATATAATTTTGTTAATGCAGCTGACTAGAAAATAAAGTCACTTTGAGTGCTTCTCACTTCAATAACGTTGCTAAGAATATGGCTGAATATTACAGAAAGTGCTTTTAAGAGGTTTTAATCCATTTTCAGTAAAACCAGAAAATACAGTAGGATTAGTAAAGCGTTGTCAAGTGCTAAAGTTTAACTTGTACAAATTCTTCTTGCTTCAGGGAAAGAAAGATGCTTACTAAGCCAGGCTCAGTAACCCAGCGTTTGTTGGTACTAAGTTTCCTGTGTATAAAACTGGATGAATGAATGTCTTGAGAACACCTGAATAACAAATTTAACTTAGAACTAGTTAAATTTCATGAACGTCAAAATAGTGTCTTTTTCAGAGATATTTAAGGTCTTAAAAAATAGACTTTTAAGTTTTATTATAAAAAATAACTCAGAATAGTTCTCTAAGTTCTGTGTTAATTATTTTGAAGACTACACTAATAGCTTGGGGTTTCCTCAAGGAATAAGTTTGTATTAGTAATACTGAATGTCATATTCACAAATTGCAAACATCCCAATTTGCTGCATTTTAACACTGTAAATGATTATTTCCTGTGTATTAGGGTAGTTTGTGTCAAACACACATTCTCTGATACCAAAACCTCAGAAAATTAAAATTTTCAACACTATGCAGATGTAAGAATGTTGTGAATCAGTATTCTTGATACAAGATGCTCAAGAAATACCTGTATGTAAAGGGCAAATATAGAAGTCTGAATAGTTCTTCCAATTTTAACTGAAAAGTGAGGGATTGATCTGTATGTGTATCTTCATCATGAAAAGAACTGATAGGGCTGTGCAGAAGAGGAGGAGGAGAGTGAGGTTTGCAGGTGTACCACCTCTTTTCTCAATTGGTATTTTATGTAGATGTCTGGGGAGGTATTTGGTTCAGAAAGCATTTGCAGCCTGAGGATGCTGGAGCATCTATGCTGAAAGAGCGCTTACTGCCCAAACCAGCTGTACCAGTCAGGAGTGTGGATTTCCCAGTTTGAGAACCTTTCTGGTTCAGAAGGTGGATGCTGCATCTGCTTTCTGGCTAATCCTGAGTTGTACTGAACTCTGATTTACCATAACAGGCTATGCATTGTGCTGCTTCATCTCAATACATTCTGTCACCTAACTTAACGAAAAAGTTTAAAGGCAAGACTACCTGATTCAGAGTTCAGAAAACTCCACTTGTTACCTGTTTAATTGCAACTATTTGTGTAGAAATGGAGATTGTGGGGGAGATGATAACATTATAAACTGCCTCACTGTTTTCTGATCTCCTGTACAGTCTTCAGTGCTGAGTACTTAAAACAGTGGTGCAGTTACTGAAAACAAACCCAAACCTCTCTAATCAAGTCTCTGAGACCATCTTCATTTATGCCCTTCTGTTCCCAATATCTGTTTCTAGTAAGCTGTGTTTTCTAAGGTGTCTGTGGCAAGCCTAGTCTCTTACCCTTGGCCAAACTGATTTCAAAGGGCTCTTATATTACTGAGGTCTTGTCTCTGTGTAAACTTGCACGCGTTTAATAAAGTGAGGTGTGTCTAAAGGAATTTTTTTAATGGTTTATTAGAACTTTAATGGTTGTCCTAATTAGATTTAGCTAGAATTACTCTTTAAAATGGAAATAAGAGGAATTACCAGTCTTTCGCTATCCTTAACTAAATTTTGACAATGTATCATTTTCAGAGTCAGGAGATAATGAAAACTAACTGCAACAGATCAGGATTAATTTTCTTGATGAAGATAAATTTGAAGTAATCAGCTGTAGAGTGGATTGTACATGTAAGTGATTTTTCAGACTAGTTCATGTGAAACAAGGTGGTCTCTCAAGTAAGCAGCTTGTGCAATTACATAATAAGGAAATAACTCTTAAATTTGTGAAAACTGACAAGCACAGGAGCAAAAAATCCTGCTTATCTTTAAGAGTTGGATAGTTATCAGTATCTCTAGCTGTGCATCAGATTTATGACCACTGGTGTATTTTTCCGATATGCAGATTTAAGTATGTGGTATTTTTGGCCACTTCTGTGACATTAGACATAAGCCACTGACTTAACTCCAGTTCGTATTTGAAAGACTTGTTTATATAACTAGTTTGCTATAATCTCCTAGTGAAATTGCAAAAATGGAACAGCAAACTTTATTTTGTGGAAGGTGTTCGATGCTGCATGTGTTTAATGAGCTTCATAGTCTTAAAGATATTTTCAACTTTCAAGCTGGAGAAATCCAGCTTTTTGATGCTGCTATTTTTAATCAGTCTTCACAAATTTACACCAGCTGATCCACTGTATTGTAGATATTGACTGTTTCACAAAGATGTGCAATTATGAGTTAATAGAGAAACTAATGGTGTGATAAGTTCTTGCCTATTCCTGTTGGGCTGGCTGTCCTCATTTCAAGTAGCTAAAAGGATATAGTTTTCTAATGCTGTTTTTCTGTAAAAGCAATTACAGCTATGTAAATGTCAACAAGGATGGATTGAGCATTAAAATGACTGAAAATTTTGCGTCCTTTGGAGGATATTTTTTAATACTATTCTACTAGATATAATCAAAGTTACATTGTTTCATACAAATAGTACTTATCAGGTTTAATACCTTAATTTGTTTGCTGATACATGAATTGCTGTTTGCTCTGAGTTTCCGCAGTATCATTTCGAGTGATACTCCATTCCAGTGGAGAATTACACTTTCTTAATGATTTTAAACAGGATGATTGATGCATCTTCAGAACTGTTCAGAGGCCTACATTATTCATATGTAAGTAGTTCCTTGTGGGGACAGTTTAGGAATCAGTCTGTAAATAAAGTAATTGAAGTCTCATAATAAATGTGACTTGACATGCCTTATCAGTGCAGTTGGGAAATACATGAGTTCTGGTCTAAGTAACTGCAATCCCATGGAAAGTATGTATTGGAAGATTCTGGAGCATTCTGTGGGATTACTGTTTAGGCTACTGAAAATTCATTATTAGGCAATAATTTTTTGATATATCTAGTAAGAATTAAAATTGGACAACTAAATGAAAACCATCATATTAAAGTTCCAGTGGGCCTGGCTTGTACCCAGAACTGTCTAACCTTGTTTGGATTCCTTGCCAGCACCATGCTGCATGGGATAATCTAGATGTGCTCTGTATGGAGCACAGCAAGTTTGAGAGGGAAGAAACCCTTTTACTGAATACCTCATTGCTGGTCCTTCAGGGTCTGCCCATGACCCTGAACAGTTCACAGGTCACCAGTACTGCATGAGCTGACAAATGGCATTTACTGTAGTAAGCAAATCCAGTAAGAAAAGAATTATTTATTCTGGTCACTATTTAATAACAGCTAATATGAGTTAGGTGCTGAATTGCCCAGTGACCAAGAAAAGATTCCAGATAACATTAGTGCCATTATTTGGTATGACAGTTTGATGGCAATCAAGATTTCTTGATGCTTGCTCTGTTGTGACTTTCCTCTTACCAGCTTTGAAGATGGTACCCTGGCATGTAGCTTTGGCACAGCTGCCGTGGATGGCCCTTCCTCTTGGGGTAAAACCTCCGAGTAAAATCTTGCAAACAGACCTGTGATTACTGGCCATACTCCCAGATTATTTTTAGATTGTTCTTTGCAGCTGTGTTTGTTCTTTGGGTAGTCATTAAGTCTTTTCCTCATTCATGCTGCCATTGCTCTTTACTTTGGTGCTGCCAAGATCTTCACACTAACAAGGTGTCCTGAATCCAGAAACTACAGTCCTTGAAATAAAGGTGTTGCTCCTGAAGAGAGCAACTCTGAGACATGCCTCTTCTGCTTTAGTCTGGTCCTCCTCAGACATCCTTACTGTTTCAGTGGTCAAGTCAAGACTTTCAAGACTTTAAATATACTTGCCTTGTAGCAGTGAGATTGAATGTTGCTTGGCAGTGCTTTATGCTGTTGTGAAAACAGATCAATTCTCAAGAATTGGAACATTAGTGGGAAGGAAATGAGGTGAACTGTGGGAATTGTTAGACACCAAATTACAGAACTTCATAGCTTTCTGGTAGGTAATATACAGTGTGCAGCAGGAAAAAAGAATCTGAATACACAATTCAGCCTAACACTGTAGCCTTGCAACAGGGAATGACTGAGCCCTCTTTTGGAAATGCTGGTTCTACATGACTGCACTGTAGCGCAGCAGAAGTCTTGATCCACAGGATGACTGTGCAGCCCAGGCCAGTTTCCACAGTGATCTTTAAGATCAGTTGATGTTTGGTGAAGTGCTTTATTCATTGCTATGAAAGCTACAGTTCTTTGTGCCCTGATACCATGTACTCACACTGTTGTCTTTAGTGTTCCTCTATAGAAGCACTGCATGGCTAGGAGATTTTAAAAAAGCAGTTTCTTGCTGCTGAGTACCTCCTTTTGGAACAGGAGTGGCTTAGAAAATTGATCATCTAAGTTTGGGTTGTTACAGTGGGACTGGGGAGAAGCATTAGTGTGTCTGTGATAAAGGGAAAACCATTCTGAAGGGTGGTAGGAGCAGGAGTACTGAATACACCCCACTTGCAAGTTGCGTTTGAGAAGCAGGCTTTCTAGAGCAGTGGGAATCCTCACAGGAAAATATAACTGAAAGTAAATGAAGTGCAGAGAGCAGAGTAGGAATAGTCTCCTTAAGAATAATTCCTCTTCACATAAAGGAATGCTACTGTCCCAGAAAAGCTTTGTCCTTAAAAGAATGACATTTGAAGTAAAACACCAACTTCCAAATATCTGTTTTAAAATGAACTTATTACTCCCTAACTCCTGCTAGAAACTCCTGCTTCTCTTGCTCACCTAGAAGGGATGCTTGCATGTCCATGCTAAAAATGCAGATCTGTCACTTGGGGACAACTTCTTTACTACTTTTCAAGCCTTAAGAAATACATTTGAGTAAGACTCTTGCTGTCCATTACAGGATGCTAACCAAGCTTCATAAACGGTCTGTAATGCTTCTTATAGCAATATTTTCCAGTTTAAAATATCAGTGGAAAAATGAGGGTTCTGTTTGCAGCTGGAATTTTTCACTAAGAATATTGCTTGAGTGGGGAGAGGGAAAAGGCCTTTAACTGATGGATGTCATGAAGCCTCTGCTGATGTCATGCAAGTGGTGCCAAACTAACTGACTTGAGTGCATTAGGTGTGCTCCTTCCAGCTTAGTTTTGTTGAAAAGAAATCTAGTTTCACCTACTTGAGACCACTCGTTAGTGTGCATCAACCTGTGGTAAGTGATGGTGATGGAGAGATGTGCTTTTGAACCAGCTGGATACACCAGCGTAGATGCATCAGCAGCTTCCACATTAGTATGCGGAATTGGGTTCTGTGTGATGCTGTTGACCTTTTGATGAGTTACAAGGATTGTAAGAATCAGTTATTTCAATAAGCTGGTGTGACAAGGAGAGTGAAGCATAGGAACCATTCAGTGTCCCCCAGGCATTCAGAAATAACAAATAGGTGTTGTCCCTCCCTTTCCTCAAAAACCTAACCCTGTTAGGTTTTAAGTTGCCTTCTGGCTTTCATCCCTTTTGGATAAAACTTGGCATTTGTTCTCAGAGGGGTCTGGTTGTTCCAGAGGGGTTTGTTGTTTGGTTGTTCCAGGGCTTGCCTTTTTTGCAAACTGCTTTATTATTGCGTTTTACTTGGTTTGTCCTTAATACCTTTATGACTGTGGAGCTCATCTAGTCTCTTAAAATGGAAAATTAGATCTTAACAGAACTGGAGTATGTACCTTCTAGGGCAAGTTTACTTCTGAGAACACCCAACAAGCTGCAAATGTGGCTTTTGTTGCCTTATACAGTGGTTAGTTTATCTGTTAGCTGCAAATGGGATCGGCTGGGGAAGAGAGCAGGAGGGAGGGGGCAAGGTGCAGCTCCTGCTGTTCGTTTCTGAGCTTCCAGATGCCCTTGAACCCTTCCTTCTGCCTGAGGGTCTGCTGCTGACCGGGAGTTGCTGCGGGGTGGTGTCCGCGATGTGAGCCGAGCAGCCGTCCTCACCGTGCTCTCGAGAAAGCCGGTTCGGTGAGCGTTCTGATGTTACCTTAAATCACCTCTTGATGCTAAGGGATGGATTTTAAAAGAACACAGTGTCATTTAAGTTCTGTTTGCACTGAGGTGTGCATCCTACAATCGGTTACATTTGGCACGGTGCAGCAGTTCTAGTACTATAAATCCGGGTTTAGCTGAACGGAATGTCGGGTTTATTCCCTGAGCTGTATTCGTGTCCAACTGAACAGTTGTGAATCCGCTGCAGGCCCCGACCCGCGGGAAGGGACCCGGGGAGCCCGGCCGCGACCGGGGGCTGCGGCAGTGCAGCAGCGCAGGGCCGAGGCGTTTGGCAGCCGAGCTCCGGAGCGCTGTTCAGATGGGTTTAAAGTCCCAGGAGCAGTCCGGAGAGCTCTGAACAGCCTTCTCCTCGCTCTCCGTGTAAGCGGGGGGAGCCCGGTCCCCACCCCGTGCGCAGCGGCTGCGGGGGGCGCGGTCCCGGCGCTGCCTCCGCACCCGGCCCCTCCCGCAGCGCTACCTTAAGGGGCCGGGATCCGTGCGGCGGGGGGTGGGATTTCCTGTGCCGGAGGTCAGCTGCTCCCGCCGCCCCGCCCCGCGCCCGGGTCCCGCTCTGCCCGCGCCGGAGGGACCCGCATCCTGCCGGCTCCGTCCTCTCGGGTCGGATTTACAGAGTGATGTGTAAGCTACAGGATGCCCAGCAGCACTGGAAAGAGGTTTAAACCTACTAAATACATCCCTGTCTCTACAGCAGCCGCCTTATTAGTGGGTTCGACTACTTTATTTTTTGTTTTCACGTAAGTACCTCTCCGGCGGAGGGGAGCCCGGGCGGGGGGAGGCGGCGGGGATTGACAGCTCCTCCAGGCCCTGCCGCTGCCGGTCCCGCTCCCTGTCTGCATCCCTGCCGCCTGCTGTCCCTTCCTTGCTTCTCTTTGCGGAGGCTGATGATCTCTCCGTGCCATAAAGCGTATCTGACAGTCGGATCCTCCATTTCATGGAACACAAATGCTGCCGGACTCCTGCAGCTGCCGGCGGTGCCCATCACAGGCAGCCGGTAGCGGCAGCCCCCCGCTCCCCCCGGTCTGCAGGCAGCTCTTGGTGTCTGCGAGGGAAATGCATCTGCAGCCGCGGCCGCCCTGGTGCCGACAGGCGTGAACCAGCCTCTGCTTCAGGAGGGCGAGCTGGCCTTTCCCTCGGTCTCCGCTGTGTTTCGGGGTTTATCCGGCAGAGCCTTTCGAAGTAGAGGGAATCCTATTCTAAACATCACGGATTGTACGTGGTTTTATGTAACTGTCTCTAAAAGCCTGAGGATCTAATGGACAGATTCAGATTTGCTTGAAGGAGGGAGGGGGAAACTTTTTCCCCCCCTTCCTCCCTGTTTCCTCTTCCCTCATTCCTTTCTCCCTTAAATGCAGAATTGAGCTCTGGCGGGCGGCTTGCGGATCTCCTGTAGTTCTATTAGTATGTGAGGGGTGTAGTGCTTCAGCTTTCTGTTTCTCCTCCTTTATATAAACTTGAGCTATGTAGATCGCCTCCCCTCCCTGTGCTGGGGCAGCGGCAGCTTCCCTGCAGAGGCGTTGGTATTTCGAGAGAGATGCTACAGAACTGCTCTGAAATGAGCTTTGACTAAGCCGCTTTTTGGGGAGGAGAAAACAGCGCTGTTGGATATTAAGATTTATTGTTTCATTTATTTTGAAACCGTTTGCCTTGGTTTGCCATTGGTAATTTTGAACTGAGCCTACTGAAGCTGTTAGAAGCAGAAGGCTATCAAACAGTGGGAGTATGTCTGTGTCCGTGTCCTTATGCTTCTTGGTTTGGCTGTGACGTGATTCTTCATGTGTCAAAATGCTCATTACTGGCACAATAATCTCAGTGTAGGATTCCAGAATAAAATGCAAATGTTGTTTTGTCTAACAGTTTCTTTAAATCAGAACAGATTTTGACACTTGAGTTATGCTCTTGACTTAATGTGACTTGATTTCTCATTGCCTGTTTTTAATGCATTTGATATAAAGTGCTGGTAAATCCTTTCAGGATATTGAACCGTTTCAAGAACTGGTACAAGCCCCAAGAACTGGTATAAATATAAGCCCCTCATTCATCATTTGGGCATCTAATTATAGTTTGGCGCTCGCGGACAAACACAAGGCTGAAGTTGGCTTTTGGAATGAACTTGGTTGACGCGGGTGATGTGGATGTTTTTCAAATATAATATGAAGGTGGGATCTTAATGCCAGCATTTATTTTTCCTGCACCTTGAGAAATGGGTGCGTGCTCAGGTTGTTTTGGAAGTTGTGTGTTTGCTTTCACATGATTCTTCCAATGTGGAGCTACAATTACTAGTGATATAAGACTTTCTGGGTAACACAGTTGTTGTTGAAACATCCTTTTGGCAGCAGGACATCAACTGACATGTTTGCTTTAGGATTTGTTACTGTACGGAAGAAGCAATTTGCTTTAGTCTATTACCAGATCTCCAACTTAACTCTGCTCCCTCTGTTATCTGTGAATAATTACATGCAAGATGAAGTATTTTTAGGCTCTCTCCATATTGTAACTTGGCCTGTGCATCTTGAAGTGTTAGTAATTTTTTCTGAGGACTGTCCCAGACATACGTTCTCTGCTGCTGCCAAGTCTTGTGTGTAATAAAAGTAACACATAATTGAGCAACTGTTGTCAGGCAGTATCTGGAGTCCTGTCCATTCAAAAATACTCAGATAAATGTGTATGGAATCGCTGTTGTCTCTTACCCTGAGCAGTTCTAACAAAATCTATCTTTGTCTTGGAATCAAAGCAAGTACTATGCATGGGATCAGTGTCTTTTTACGTGACAGTGGGTAGTTTCCCCTTTCTCAAGCATCTCCCATTTTTATCTTTTTCCACAGGCAGTTGTTTGTCTCTGAAGATCTTTTTGTTGGGATGTGTTATTAAAGGCTGAGGAGATAGACCTGAATTTTCAGGGGTGTTGATTTGCACAACTCTTTTGATGTTGGGTAGATCTCTGACATGCAGCGATTGAGGCACTGGCCTAAAATTGCTCTAAGCAGTGTTATTAAATCAATCCATGCTTACTTTCATGGCGCAAGAACTTTATCAGCAGAAAATTTACATGTGTTTTTATTAATTCCTTATTTGTCATTAAGCTCTAAGGCTGCTTTGTCTGTTAATGAACCAACTTGTGCATCAATATGTGAAACTGGTGATAGATGGGTCTTGGATATCAAATTTTGGGTGCAGATCAGCTCAGTGGGATTATCAGGGACACAAGCAACTTCAGTGCAGTGGAACTGAATAATGAAGGTTAATGTATGTGGAAAATTTGAATAATAACTTTTTACAAACCATTTACTGAATATAAAAAACAATCCTTGTAGGGTGCTGCAAACATTTCTGAGTAACAGGTATGAAAACCAGAGATTCTGACTGGGCTTTCTCCCTAGGCGTGTTTGTGGGCTCAGGCCACATGTTGTTAAGTGTCTTGGGCTAGATGAAAATCTCTTTGAACTTGAAGGCCAGGGTTAGTTTTTAGCCGTATAGCCTTTATTTTTAGCTTTTATCCAAACAGCTTTGCTAAATGGCAGCAAATAAAGAGAGTTTGAAGTACATGGTACCCACTGTTAGTTCATGGTAGTGTGGATCAGTGATACGCTATAATTTGGTTAAATTCCATTATAGATTCTCCTTTTTTCTTTTTCCTCATCTAGCTATTTAGGATTCACTGTATCAGTGTTATATTCCCTCTGCATTTATGAGGGAGAACTGAACTATTTAGCTATCGAGATTATTGCCTGGAAAGGCAGCTAAATATCGCAGTTGTATTATCACAGGCTTTTAGCTCTCCATGTGTGTTCCTTTAATAATAAATACAAGCATGTGAGTAGGTGTCTAATTTGTCACAGTAGGAGAGGTAAACAAGCATTAACTGCAAGCATTATGAAGGAATGTATCAATATATAACGATTAGATTAATTTACTTACATGAAATCAAATGGCATCATGAAGGCAGAACCAATTTTTCTTTACATTGCAAGAATCCAGAATGATTCAGTTGTAGCAGACATGAACTTTTTTCTGCCCAAACCATTTTTCTTCATGTTTCTCATAAGGCTTTTTGGTAGAGATAGCAATTTAACCTATTTTACTGAAGTCTGGACTCTTACGTCTTGGACTGGCAGCTGCTATGATATGATCATTCAAAGAACCTGAGTTTTGAGAACTTCCTGCCTTATTTTAGGTTGTCTAACTTCAGTAATAGTAGAGAATGCAGCTTAACTGTCAGTAAGCATAATGCTGTAAAGCATGTCACCCAATGAGCTGTTGGACTTAACAATCTTAAAGGCCTTTTCCAACCTAAATGATTCCATGGTTTTTCTTGAGCTAGTAGTTCACTTGTTTAAATTGTGCTACTTACTGTAGTTTTTATTGCTGAGAGCCTCCAAGTTTAGCAGCTGCAGTGCCTGTATCTGTAGATTACACAGCAAGCTAAAAGCATAAGGTTTTAAGGAAAAACTGTGGCTTATTTTAGTAAGGAGGAAAAAAAAAGCTCTTGATTCTCTCACTGAATGTTGTAGACTAGAAATTTCTGATAAAATACCCTTTTTCAGACTGTGCTTTCAGTAGCATGCAGGCACTTGAGCATCTTTGAAGCACAGCAGAAACACATAATTCACATCAAAGGTCCAGGTGCCACTACTTCTTTGATATAATGGTAGTAATGCTGCTGTATATTATTTCTTCAACAGGATAATGAAATGGGTAATTTTCTGGGTTAAGGGAAAACACAAATAAGGTGAAAACTCACTCAGGCACTACTGAAAATGAGACTTCAGCTTTGTTCTTAGAAGTCGTAAATGGGAGGTAATCATAAGCATACTCCACAGACATATGCATTGGCACTCTAATGCAGTCTGTGGCACAGGGGAATTTAATACCAATAACATTCAGGAGACAACTGAGGAGTCATAAATTGGTGTAGAAGAGCAACTGAAGCTTAAGTCACAGGAGTGGTGGAAAGAAAATAAGAGAAAGAGCTTGTACCCTGCTATTCAGCTGGTAGAAGGAGGAAGCATGGCTCTACTCAGTAGCAGAGCTGGTGGATTTACCTTAGCAAGATTGAAAGCCTTGGGTTTATTCATGAATGTTTAAAAAAATTGTGGTATTCCCCCCACATTTGTATCATGTTACTGTATTTCATGAACTAAAAAGACTAAGCATTCCAGCAGTGGCTGAAACATCCAGGTTACCAGTATATGAATTCAGATACATTTCTATTATGACAAATGTACTTCTTAAAGCATAAGAATGCCCATCCCCCATTATCTGATCCTGCACTAGATTAGCCCTAAAATAAATATGTAATAGCATTTTAAAGTTCAAAACTGTAATAGCCATTCTAGATGGTAGTTAATGGAAATATAATTATATGTGTACCTTAGATTCTTGGACTGTTTGTTAGATCTCGTCTTCCCATGACTTGTATATGTTCATAGATTAAAAATGGGAAAGCATCATCTGTGGGTTTGACTTGGGTTTGTTTAGTCACTAGCAGAGGTCAAGCTAATAGAACATCATCTTTGCTTTAGTGAATTTTGTCTCCAAAGATGTTTTTCTTACCTAAAGTATTTTAAGGACTTCACTGAACTTCAGTTCCAGATGTTCAGAACTTCTGCCAGTTCAGTGTTCTGATTGCAGTTAGAACAAATGATAGAAAGTGATTTAAAATTTATATTGCAGATGTTATGGAGCTTCATCTGTAACACAGGTGCATTTCATACCAGCTTATAGGAAATAGAACTGGATACTGATATGTAGATGCACAAAAAAGAGAAATTAAAGATATTAAAGAAAAAATCATAGCTTGGGTTGTCCAACATATGAAGATTAAACAGCATGAATTCTATCTTATGGTTTGGCCTCTGCCTAGTAACTTGCTGAAGACTGCTGGTGGATGTGGTGTAGCTCTGGTGGCAGTTGCTTGTGATGGGTGGTGCCAGAATTTCAAGGTTTGCTGTGGTGTGTGTGAAAGCGCATGGATACATTGCCACTGCTTCTCTGCTTCCTCCTCGTGCCTCCTGATCAGTCACACCAGCTACCCTAGGAGTTCTGGAATCTTTGCAAAACAAAGCTTGTCATCCTTGTCTGTCTGTAGCTGTTCTAGAAATTCATTTGATGTTGGTCATGCTAATTGTAAAAAAGAACAAATTCCCCCTTCTTGAACTTTCTAAACCGTACTTCAGTACTTGACATATTCGTGGATTTCTGATAGTTTTTTTTTTTAATTTTTTAGTTCTTTTTTTCTCGCATGCCAAATCAAGACATTGCTGGAGCTGGTAGGGAGCAGCTTCAGAAAGCAGACATTCACTGACAGTAAATGACACTATATAGAAGAAGAAGAAGAGTGTGCAAAAAAAGGGTGTGTTGGTTTAATCAGTGAATTTCAAAACTGACTTCACAAATAAACAGTGATTTCAAGTAGTGCATTTCCGCCTTCTGAGGTATCTTAACATTTTCCATCTTAAATGCATCTTTAACAGCAGGTTCTTCCTGTCCACTCTTCTTGTGATCCAGGAAAGGTAAAGCTTGCCAGACTGACCTGAGTCATCTCAGTTGTCATGTCTGTCAGCTTCTGAAAAATATTTATTCTTGTTGTGACAAAAAAATGTCCTTTTAAGCTGTGGCAGTTTCATCTTGGTATAGAACTTCTGTAAAAATAATCTAGACAAACTTGTCATGTAAGATAAAAAGGCAATCTCAGCAGGAAAATCCATTAAGCTGAAGTGTGAAAAGTTGTGTTGGTTTCTTTTAATATGCCGAAAGAGAGCTCAGTTCTCCTGCTTTTATCTGGTTGATTCTATCATCTCTGCTTCCAAGCAGCTAGCAAAGCTGGCAATACAGGACACTTTTGAAAGCTATTGAAATTCATTCCTTTAGAAAACCCCCGCTGATATTTATTATTAACAGGAATATTTTTTTCTTCCTGTAGTCTGGGAGAGGGAGAAAGAGAACCATGTTTGTTGGTGGGAGTCCATAGGTAGACATCCTCAGCTGTGCACATGCAACCATCAGAATGGCATGTCAATGCTCACTGTAGATCTTGTTTTAAAGGCAGAAGAGCTAATGCAATAAAAGTTATTCCTGTCCATGGGCCATGCACAGCTGCGGTTCACTGTGTGATTTATGCCAATAACAACCTCCTTCCTATTTTTCCTAATGAGCAGAGATAAAGGAGGTATGGAAACAGGAATGAGTGAGTGTCTCAATTAGATCAGGGTGGGCCTCTCAGCCTTTGTACATGAATATATAAGCCATTTTTCTATTTTTCTTTAAAGTCCTTTTCAAAATACTGATTTGAATACTGTCCATGTTTGCTCAAGAATGCCACACATGTGTCCTTTTATAAATAGAAGCAATCTCTACAGAATTGCTCCAACAACATGGGAATTCAATTGGCTTATTGGTAATGCAAGCTAAGGGATGCTGCTGTTCTAAACACAAGTAAAACTTAAATTGAGAGACAGATACATGTGGTGTCCTTAAGAGGTCTGATTTTTGAGGTTCATTACCTGGGACAGTTGTTGTTTACACAAAAACCTTAAGTGTGTAATTAACTTATTCTGTTAGTGGGTGCTTCTTATCTGAAATCAGATGTAGGACACTGTGGCGTGGGGATCTGTGGGACCTGTGGAAGGTAACCTGGAACAGGTTTTCTGTTACTAAGTGTACAAGGAAACCTTTCAAGGCCTACGAAGGGAAACCATAAGTTCTGTTTATCTTGCATTAGCAGATGTCTGAAATACAGTATAAGGTGGTATAAGCCAATCTAGAGCATGAAATAGAGGCATACTGGAGTGGGGAAAAGTATCTTAAAAGCTGAATTGGTAGTACCTTTGTGTAACTAGTACAAAAATAGAATACTGATTTACTGCTCTTTGATTTGAGCCAGTAGATACAAGACTTCTTTCTCACTAATTCAAGAGTAATGTTCAATTTGGCTGCACTGTTAGAGAGCTACTATTACTTGGTCATTTGTCAGTGGGAGCTGCTAATGAAATTGAAAGGAAGAGGCACAGGGGCTGAAATAGTAATGCTGCAGGTTTAAATGGAAATTCTGCTGCCACCTGCTGCCAGGAATAGTGGAGATTGGAAAAATGTAGCCAGCCTAAATCCTATTTTACCATAGGAGAGGTGGTTTTGGGGATCCCTGCTTGGTGATTGTCATAATTAATTCAAATGAGTACACCACAGCACAGTGTATACTATGTAAATCTGCAACCCATAATCTGTATCCAGAAAGAGGATTTAATTACTCAGTGATTGTTCTTCCACAATTATTAATGCAATTTAGCTAGACTTGCTCCAAAGCTGTCCAAAGCACCTCAAATTCTGAGCTCTAAACCTATTACACAGACATTAGTGGGTGCTTGTTTTTCTCTTGATGGATGTTATGGAATAAACTGTCCAGTAACCCATACTTGGGTATTGCAGTGGTTACCATGGTTTTCTGTTTGTGAAGGTGTAAACACAGAATTTGTGGACTTCGAATGTGAAATCCTTATGAAATATCTGTACTCTAGTGCTGTGTGTTGAGATCATCCAGTAACAAAGGACAGTGGAGCCAGGTGCAGGAAAGAGACCTCTTGAATTTTAGATCTAAACACCAAAGCAGCTGCTGCCAGCACACACGTGCACCATTTTGTTAAGGCACTTTAATGCTGTGTGAAGTCACGTAATTTGGAAATGCTGCCCTTTGTGCTGGGGGACTACAAGCTCTATGGAGCAGGGCAGGAAGTATGAAGATGGGAATACGTGAAATATGGATTCTTGTCAAACCACATATAAAATGATGTCATTATTTTTTGATGAAGGGAGGTGTTCATAGGTGCACACTACTCAGTAATACATGGAAATAAGGTTTGTATGTGCCACTTTGAAATGACTGTTCTCCAGAAAACCCCTGTATGCACTCAGACTAAACTAATCACAGAACAGTCTTAAATGAACAAATTACTTTTTAAGTTGGAGCCTAACAAAGCAAACTTGAAACTGCTTAAATATATAAGGGCTTTTGTAAATAAAGGCAATGCAAAACCTTACTCTCTCAGGATTCCTAAAACTAAATTGGCATTTACATTAGCTCTGTTGCATGTCTTCGGGGAAATAATCCAATGTAATATCTATATCAACACAATTTAAGTATGGTGCTGGGAATAAGGGAAGCTTGGACATTTTTTATAAACAAGCATCATTTTAATTTAAACTTGAGTCAATCACAGTAATGCTTCAAAATGGAAAAGTTCAGCTTAAAACTTTCCTGCCTACTCTGATCCCAGTTGGCTAGGAGGTGCAGGTATTTTCTCATGGAAAAACACTTCCTCTCCCCCATTTTCAGCCAGTTCAGTTTCAAAAATTATTTGGGATTATTTTCATTGTGTATAACCTCCCTCTCAGTTTTTTTCTCATGAGTGAGATCTCATTTTGCATGTTTAGCTTTCTCTGAAGATTAATGTTTGCCCTAGCAGTAAGACTCTCCAGATGTGTTATGATCTAATAACACTGTGGTTAACCCTTGTCTGCTGTCAGCAGCTTGCTGAACCACCTCATGTGTTTTACCAAACCCCAGCTTTTGATTATGCACTTTCTTGGCTCCAAGCAGCAGGAGCCATTAGTTGAGTAGGTGGGTGTGCTCTCCCTCCCTGGGAGTTGTATCCACTAGCAGGCTCTGGAACCTCTGCCCAAAGACTTCCCCCTGGAACTGTGCTGTTAATGTGGCTTCTCCTCTTAACATTCCAAGCACAATAGTGGAATGAGGGCTTGGGGATGGCTGTATGGTCTTCATGAGGCCAGACCTGTGACTTTGACCAGTAACTCTAGGTTCCTGTTTAAATTATCATCTCATTTTTCCCTTGTGTGGTTCTTAAGTCTCACATCTACACTTTCTGTTTGAAAGTCTTGCCTTATCACCTGGCCACATGGAAGCAAATTTCTGAGTCACTCCTTGAATGTAGATTGAGTGAGGTTTGTGGTTCGAGTTGCAATCTAGGTTAATTGTTGGGGCTTATACAGACTTTACATCTCTAGCTCAAAGAAGTCACTCTGATGGAGCTGGGATTTGGCCTGTCGGGACTCACTTTCTTTGGGTATTATGTGGCATGTAGTCCTGATGTTGCCTTGGTTAAAATTAGCAAGACTTCCCTGTGTATGTGCATTAAGATCTTGTCTCTTTTCTTATCTGCTATGTAGGTGGCAAGTTGAACTCACCACTGTAACAAATTTATTTGATGAGAAATGTTATTCTGGTCCATACCTCCAGATCAGTTCTGTTTCTTGCCTGCCTTCAGCTGTAACTTCTGCAACTGGCCTTGAACCTAGTTAAATGCTTAAAACTGCTGGAGAAGTGTGCAAAAGCTAGCAAAAACTGCTACAGGTAGAGCCATAACAGTGAACAGACAGGGCGTGCTAACCCTGTTACAATGAAGTTATATATCAGTTATATAATACAGTTATAATTTAGTATCCTAATTCACAGGGTTGTTACTTCTCATGATATTTTTTAACTCTATTTACACTGCATACTAGTTACTCTGCAAAGAACCAAGTACAAGCTTGTGTAGTAATGCAGGACTAAAAAGAGACTTCATACTATGTGCATTTTAAAATAACATTGTACAAACTGACAGCCTCTGTCATTTTTAATTTGATGGGTGCACAAGTAGGCTGGCTTTGCA